CTCAGTTTCTGCATATCTCTGGGCTCACAGTAATCCACATATGGTTTATAACAGGCTAGCCCTAAAGGATTACAAGCCCCTTTTGCTAGATAACATCAGTCCCTTATCTCTGCTGTTTAGAAGATTCCCCACTGATGCATGGACACTCTCTGTGGAGATGATCTAGTTTTGGATTTTGCATGCCGACTGACCTGGCATAACTTGAATTCTCTAGGTTACCATAGAAGTGGTTGATGGCCCCGATACTGAACCAGAGAAGGATCTGCACAAAGAAAGCAGCAAGCCTAGCTGGCCAGTCCCATCCTCTGACTGGAGGAACTGGTGGCAGACGTCATCCACCTTGACTCGCATGAGTAGCGGTGACCAGGACTACAAGCATGACAGCAGCACTGAAGATAGCAACTTCCTAAACCCTCTTGGTGGGTGGGATAGGCATGCACCCAACCACCGGACTTTTGAATCCAAGGAGCAGCCAGAGTATGGTGAGTTCGCATTCCAGACCTCTTATGGGCACCTTGGGATTGTAAAACTAGTTTGGGGGAAATGAGAATGGAGAGGCATCGCTGAAAGTAGGCCAAGCAAAATAGAATTTTTCCAACATGTGGCTTTTGTTCATTGGCTTTTAAATACAAATCTGTGCAGATGCACAAACTAGGCTGTGGTAGCCACATTCCACTTGTGAGTCTATAATCTTGAAAATTATACCAGTTATCCTACAAGAAGTTTTTTTTATTCATAAGTGTACTTTTTTAAACAAAGGAAATAAGGTCTCATTTATTTTTAGTGTAAGGATAAGTACAAATTTAGAACCATGTGCAGTGATTTGGAAGCTAAAATGTAACTGGTGGATAAATGAGTGAGAACTACAATGTGGTCATGTTTGGTTGAGATATAAGTAAGGCAAGTTATGTTGACTCATGTGTAGGGAGTGGCATAGATAGCAGGAACATTTTGCGTGTGGAATTCTGTTCCAGATGTATCATGGGGAAAACAATTGTTTTCAGTTTGTTGTATGAAACAATTGCTGAAAACCGAAAGGACGAATTATTTCCTTACTATCACATTTGTCTATAGCTGCACATTTTGGGATGACTTCTGGGAGGTGACTTAATATGCACACTATGGGAGTTGCAAGTGGCTCAGAGCCTCTAAGGATGAAGCTGTAAATCAATATATACTTAAGTAGAGCCCTACCAAATTCATGTTGCATCATCTACACACACACACAGAAGCTGTAGCTTACTGTTTCAGCCCTAGTTTCCCTTGTTTTGATTAGGTTTGAGTCTAGAGCCTTAACTTAGAGAGCTTTTTTGCTGAATTTTATATTTAAATATGTACATAAGTATTGAATATCGTGGGCTAGAATTTTAAAGTCCTTTCTTCTTGCACCTGTATCTGTGGACAAACTTTAGTACTACAAAAAGATGTACAGTGCTCTGCCACACCTAAGGGCATCAATGTTAAAAGAAGATTTCTATTCCCAGTGCAGATTCTCTAGGCTAAAACAGTCATCTTTAACAGGGTTTATTATCCATGTTTTCTGTCCACACTGGCAATAAAACAAACCATGTTATAAAATAGATACCTCTAACCCTGGCAGAAAACTATGCACTAGCGCAGTCCTTTACATAATGAGAGACAGGAGCTTGGTTGGTCTTCTCGCAAAGGTGTAACACTGAAGTGGCATGTTTGGTATTGGGAGCGAAGGCACACTAGGCAGTACACTCTATGCCCTGGACTTCCCAGATTAGTTAGTGGAATATTTCACTCAATTTGGGCCCAGTCATGTTCGTATTATTTGCACTGTGGTAGTGCCTAGAAGCCGCAGTCATTGCAGAACAAAATGCTGGTTCCTGACCCAAAGAGCTTTTAATGGTACAGGATCAGGCCCTCAGTGACAACAGTTAGTCATTTAGTCAGTGCTATAAAATGTTCATTACCATGGGTTTGAAAAGAACGTGTAATTCACTGAGTCAGTGACTTCTTCTATAACACATTAGCTCTCTTGCTCTGATGTGTGGGGAGATTAAAGAATGAAACTGAAATATTTCCACATACAATCAACTACCCAAACAAAATCCAACCTGCATTCTGTCCTAAAATCCAGTTAAGTTTTGAATATCTTTGTGTGCCATAGATATGTTTGGAGGGGTTTATTCGAGGGGTGGAGAGGTTAAAGTAAATGTTTTTATTACATATCTGGTCGGTTTGTGATCAGAAAGCATATTCCGACCGATGGAAAAATAGTTTAAATAGATGTTTTGTTAGTTCATGACCCAGCTTTACAGCTGAAGATTCTCGGCTGCTAAAAGGTCAAAAGAGAGAGGAAATATTTTTTCAAATAATGTTGCATGCACGTCCCTGAGGAGAGTCAAGTGTGAAAACCATTTAAACAGCAGGCTTAAGCCTGGCACTCAGCCCAGGTTTCAGGTAAAGACATCTGGATTCCATTCTCACTATGCCTACTTAATAAAAACCACCATCTATACAGTAGTATTTGGTAGGAGGGTTTTTGTTTTTCATTTCCTTCCTCCTCTTTGTTCCTGTATAGATTATATTGATGGAGAGGGAGACTGGAGCCCATGGTCCATTTGTAGTGTAACCTGCGGGATTGGCAATCAGAAGCGAACCAGATCCTGTGGATATGCCTGCACAGCCACTGAGTCGAGGACATGTGATAGGCCAAACTGCCCAGGTATGGTTAACAAATGGTGGTTGTTTTTAAAGAGAGAACCTGAATTGTTATTAGAAAGATCATTGCACCAGGGGACAGAGCACTGGGTTTGGAGGGCTTCACCATACATGGTTAAAGGCCAGCATCACATTTGGACCATGGCTGGGTAACAGTGCTATTAAAAAGTGGTGTTCCAGTCCTGAAGGTCACTTATGAAATTTTATTTCGTATGTGAATTACCCTAAAATGTAAAAGGCAGACATGGTATTTTAATGTTAATGTACCATGCCTGTCTTTTATGTTTTAGAGTAATTCTATATTTTATTTTTTATTTTTAAATTAACCAAGCATTTGTTATTAAATCCAATGTTGTCTCCTATAAGGGGTTAAAGTTGCTACAGAAAGTTTCAGTCTAAAGGCAAACTTCTTTTGTTGCTGCAGTTACTTCTTGCCTACCCCAACATTCCGCACGTCACAGGACTGAAGCTTTTGCCCAAAGAAATGTGCACTCATTTCACCTAGAATGCATTTGTTTTTTTTTTATTTTAAAACAGCCACATTACTATTATTTGAAAATAAGAACATACATTGCAATACATTTAATGTATATACTTCCCATAATGTCAGGAATAATGGCTCCATGTTAGTTGTTAATATGCCCTTTAAAGTATCATGCCAACTGTCTGCAAAGTGGCTTTAGAGAATTGGTTCTCAAACTAAGGCCGCCGCTTGTTCAGGGAAAGCCCCTGGTGAGCTGGGACGGTTTGTTTACCTGCCGCGTCCACAGGTTTGGCTGATCGCGGCTCCCACTGGCCGCGGTTCGCCGCTCCAGGCCAATGGGGGCTGCAGGAAGCAGCGCAGGCCAAGGGACGTGCTGGCCGCCCTTCCTGCAGTCCCCATTGGCCTGGAGCGGCAAACTGCGGCCAGTGGGAGCCGCGATCGGCCGAACCTACGGACGCGGCAGGTAAACAAACCGGCCCGGCCCACCAGGATCTTTCCCTGAACAAGCAGCTGCCCTAGTTTTGAGAACCACTGCTTTAGAGGAGATCTGAACCATGGTCTTATACACTAGATGTTCTACTCCTGGGGGAATTCTGTGCCACTGCACATGTGCAGAATTCATGTCCCTTACAGATGTCTTTGCTTCCCCGCAGAAAAATGACTTTCTGACAGGGAAGCAAAGGGAAGGTGCAAGAGCAGTCACACATCACTCCCTAGCTGCGCAGGTACATTGTTTTAGGCACCCGTAGCAGCCAGTGGAGACAGTCAGTGGCTCCTACCCTGAGCTGGGATCAGCTGCTAGTCCTGGCTGGGGAGGAGGCAGGAGAGGATGGGATTTTCTCTTCCTCTGTAAGGAGTGGCTGGGGCTGTGTCAGACCCACCCCTAGAAACCTCCCCCAGCTGCATCCTCCCCTGCTTCCTGCCCCCATCACTCCTCAACTGTGGGGGGAGGGGTCACTGTATGAGGAGCTGCTCCCCCATCTGCCCAACTCCTGTGCATCCAGACCCTCCCATTCCCAAATATGCCCTCCAAGCCTCACCCTGTACTCCCAGAACCCCCCTAGTTCTCCATATCCAAGCCTCACCCCATTGAAGCTTGACCATCCCCCACTGAGCACTCAACCCCCCACCCTGATGAGCCCCACCCCCCTGCACCAACCTGAGCCCCCACATTCAGACCCCCATGCCACTGATCCCCAACTAGCTGCACCCAGACCCCCACCCCACCAAGCCCCACTCCCCCAGCACCCATACCCCCCTACTGAGACCCCCACACCCAGACCCCTCCTCTGAGCCCCAACCATTTTCACCTGGAAGCCCCTGCAGAATCCCATTGCCCCTGCACCTGGAACCCACCCAATGAGCCTCTGTGCATCCAGGTCCTCCCTCTCCCCCCCCCCCCCCGCGCTGCCTGCACCCAGATTATCCCACACAGAATCCTCTCACCCTCACACCTGGATCCCCCCACACTGAGCCCCTCCTGCCTCGTTGAGCCTGCCTGCCCCACATCTAGTGTGCCTTGCTGGGCCCCAGGGTGTTCCCGGGGCAGGCCCAAGCCTTGTGCTGTGTCAGGGTCGGGTGCAGCCTCACCACTGAGTCCGTCTCCTGGGGGTGGGAGATCTCCCACCTTCGTGCAGCCAGTGGCCTGTACTCCCCCCTGCCATGCTGCAGCCTCTGCGTTTATTTATTGACAAATAAAACTTGCCAAATTTTAAAATCTTGTGAGCAGAATTTTTAATTTTTTGGATGCCGAATTTTTCGGCGCAGAATGCCCTCAGGAGTAATGTTCTAAAGAGCTGTTGCAGTTTGAGTCAAGGGATTTTTTTGTTTTTGTTTTAATAGACATTAAACCACAAAGCTCCTGTCTCTTAACACAAACCAGCAAGTCTAGAATTAAGGCTAAAATGCCATCCATCCATATCTCTCTCTCTCTCTCTCTCTGTCCATTTTGCCTACAAATTGGAAAAGTCTCAAAACCAGCAGGCTTGGCCCTTCAATGCCTGTGCACAACAGGGCAGATTAAGGATGTGGTTTTAGCTTGAGCCACGTGTTGAGAGGATTCTCTGCTTATTCATATTAATCCACATTTGCACAACCCATACAGTGATGCAGCACTGAGGGTGATGCATTGGAGCTGTATAATTACACCACAGAGAGCAGTGTGGTGCATCCACATTACAGTACATAGGTGCCAACTCCATGGGTGCTTCGGGACTGGAGCACCCATGGGGGAAAAATGGTGGGTGCTGAGCACCCACTGGCAGCCCCACTACCAGAACCTCCCCCTCCCCCCAGCGCCTCCTGCCCGCTGGCGGGCCCCACCGATCAGCACCTTCCCCTCCCTCCTATGGCCTGCCACAGATCAGCTCTTTCGCAGTGGCAGGAGGCGCGGGGGGGGGGTGGGAAGAAGCAAGGGCACAGCGTGCTCGGGGGAGGGGGTGGAACTGGGTGGGAAAAGGTGGGGGCAGAGCAGGGGTGAGAAGA